CAATTAAATCGTTAAAAAATAATATAAATTATTGAATTGAGCGAATATCTCTTTATTTATATATATATATATATATATATATTAAATCAAAAGAAAATCTGACATTGGGACATTTCTTTTGGGAATATTAAAAGTGAGAAGCTAAGGTAATAATTGGGCTAAAGTTTTCACCTTTCGGCTTAGCGGCATTTACTCACACATAATAATTAAACAGAAAACAACGCCAAATGTAATTTGGTTATCCAACTGTAAATGTGTACTAACCACTCTCAAGTGTAAATAAGAATACATATAAATTTTTTTCAAAAGTTAAAATTATACACAAGTAATTAAAAATTATAGAGTTTAATAAATATTGTTAGTGTTAAAATTTTTGCACTATTAATGAATTATAAGTAACTTTAGTATAATTTTGAAATAATTATTATCAAAATCAATAAAATTAACTTACATGATAACTTTTTATTGAATAAGATACATATACTATATTCTCAAAATTATATTAACATTTGAAAATAAAATTTATTAACTTAAAAAATTAAAATTAAAAATTAATAAATTCGTTGATAATAAGCATTTAATTAACATTTAAAGTCGTGTTAACTTAAATAAGATGGATAAGACTTTAAGAAAAGCATGTTGAAAACAAAGCCTATCAAAATTCCAAATCTGACGTGTTGCCACGGATTCCGTGTATTCCGTACAATTAAGATTCAAACTCAAAACTAAACCAAAGACTTATCATGACCTCAACTTCAGGGGAAAAGGTATCATTCGTTAAAGGAAGGGTATCATTCTTTTTTATCATGGAAAACGTATCATTTAATTCCACTTTAGTTATTTCATCTTAGATTTTACTTTTTTTTTATTTATTATTTTAAGATGATTATGCATCTTAAATGATTACTTGAGGATATTAAGTAAAAATTCATAAAAAAGTAATTTTTTCTAATTAAATAAAATATATTACTGTTTTTACCGGAAATCTGCTGTAGAGCTGATCCGCCGGGTAAGATCGATGAGCCTCATTTGCTGATGTATTAGTGCTCCAAGATGGGTGAGGTACCTGCAAAAGAGACTCCGATGCCAAAGTTAGGGTTTGCATGAATAATAGTCTCATATATATAATGCACGTACCTTGAGG